TCTTAAAGCCAACATTTTGGATTTTCTTCAAAATTTATTTTTATTGGTTTTCATCGTTCTTGCATTCACTCTCTTCGTATGTTGCAGCAGCAGCAGCAGCAGCGACAGCTTGTGCATTTGTTGTTATAATAATGATAATAATGTACACCAGATGGAATGAAAAATACCAAAATGAAGAGGAGATATAAAAACAACAGGCCCAAACTATAGGTAAATATCGTGAGCTGTGGCGCATCGAAGACATACAAAACTATCGATTTTAATTCTTCGATAGATGGGCTTTTGTTTCGCAACTGTATCTACTTGAAACTAGACTATAAGTTTAGTTTTTCAGTCATTCTGTATTTTGCATTGAACAGGCTTCCTTTACCACAGTGCGATCGGCTGAGTGCAATGTATTTCTCTCTCTTGTTTTCTGTTTTTCTTCTCTTTGCTGCACTGTTTCAGCGTTTGCTCTTTCACTTCAATTCATTTTTTTTTTTTATTTTTCAGTTGATTGAAAAGATCGCAATTTTCACACGAAAATCACATTGGAGCCGAAGAAATATAAAGAAGCATCGTACCAATGTAATAAATTGCTCTCGGTTCGAGTGCACGAAACACTAAAAATTTCAATTGAAATAAAAGAAACAAAAATAAGAAGAAAATGAAAAGATACACAAAAGTAACAGCAATAACAACAACAACAAAAAAAACACTCTTAACAAAAACAAGTGACATGTGACCATACACATCCCAATCCCATTCAAATCTTGACACAAAGATTTATGTTGTCCAGTCGATTTGGCTTTGTGCAATATCTCAATGCGAGGGAGTCCAATTCAACCATTTATTTATGTTTTTTTTTTTTCACATAACATTTTCTCCATATATGTTCTTACACCGAGTGATTAGAGAGACAGAGCGCTAGCTGATCAAATTCAGGTCACACTAAATTTGCCGCATCTTCGTTTTACGTTGTTGCCATTGCAATTGCATAGCACAAAGAAATCAAATGAACAGCCATCTAACAACCTAAATTGCGCCGAAAAAACGTCTCATTTCTTCTTTCTGAAATTGCGAGTTAGTTTTTCATCTCTCTCTGCATATGAAATGCATTACGCGAAAAGCACGGAATAATTGGTAGTAAGAAGAAAAAAAGCATCGGGCCTTTAGCAGCATAAACGTTTAACGTGGTTGGTTGTCGTTCTTTTGGTGGGTAATTGGTGTGGTTTCACAATAAAACGGCGATTTGATTTAGAGTTTATGTGTACTTAACCTATGAAACCGATACGATATGCGCGATGCATTTTCAGTGTGGCTGTAATTACCATTGTGGCAGACTGCATCAAGCGTCGCATAAAATGTGCTCGCAGTTGCAGTCGCAACTCAGCCGTTCAGCAATTTGTATATATATGGTAGATTAAACTGTTGCCCGTTCCGTTGTATCGCTTGGATTTTTCGTTATACAATTCATTAATGCAAAATGATGTCTTCGTGAGTCTGCCATCAGTACCGTGCGCCATATTCTTCTTGCATTTGCTTTTATTTTCATTTTTGCTATACATCTATGTTAATTCATTATGTGGATGCTCTTTCAGAAAAGCAAAACGGTACTCTTTATGCTTCTCGTGTCATTTATTTTAATCGTTAGACATTTGCCTATCTGCCTGCTCTCTTCAATATTCACACACTTGATCGTCTTCGTCATCGTCGTCGACGTCGTAGCGTCGTCTTCGTTTTGAACCATTAAAAAAGGCAGTTTCCCAGGCTCCGTTTCAATCACATTTAATTTCTAATTTCCTTTCCAAAACAAAACACAAAATAAAAACGCCGAACTCACTAGAAAAAGGCGAATCCACCTGTTTTGCCGTCTCGATTTTTTTTTTTTCATTTCAAATATAAGACTCTGTATTTTCCATTGGCTCGAAGGTTGATAAAAAAAAAAAAAGAAGAAACATATGATTGAATCAGGTGCATTTGTAGACCGAGCGCATGAATAAAAATAAAAGCGATGAAGGTAGAATCGATGGGAAAATTCGAAAGGTGCAGTGTGTTGTGGATGATCAGATTTTGTTGTTGTTCGTATATCATAATATTGGAAATGGTCAGATGATTCTAACTATTCAGCTTCAATTTTTATGCCATGAAACCGGTGATTTAATTTTTTTTTCAACAATAATCGATTTTTTCTTCGTTTCAAGTGATTGCCGAATCAACGAGAGATTCATCAATTTTTCCAACGATGAGACGAAAATTAATTGCAATTTCTTGCACTTCATACTTTTCAAATGTCATTAATTATTTTGCACCTTTTGTTTTATTGCACATTCAGATAATCCATATTTTTTTCGTTCGTTCCTTTTACATCATACAAACTATGAGTGAAAACAATGGGAAAAACAATATATAGAATACTTGATACGTCTTCGAGCCATTCCGTGAAAGTTCTTTTTATTTTTATCTGTTTTGTCGAAACAATTGCCATCATCTTCTTTTGAAGAAGGGAGTTCACGAACCTTAAGAGGAGAAATTTCACTACATTACGCTTGGCCACGGAATTTGATATTCTATTTATAAATCTGCTGTGTGTATGTGACTCTCGATTACAGAGAAGCCACAGTGCAAAAACAAATGTTGGCATAATGCTGTTGAGAATGTTTTCAGATGGCAGAAGGGATTAAAATTACTTTCACAACTGTCAGCCAACAAAATATCACTCGGCCACACGATGAACCATATTAAGAAATACATGGACACACCGTTTAATGTCATCTTGAATTCGTAATCAGTAGCACCAGTCTGGTGAAAATATAACAAAAAATTTGTCTTTATCGTTGAAAAAAAAAACCAACAAAAACGAATGCAATCTGGTTTAGACTCTATTGAATGATACAGCCGACAATATTTCAGTTCAGTTCAGTTCTTCTTTTAGTGCATTTGTCGCCTGCCCAAACTATATTATTTTGTTCTCCATTTATCTCTCTTTCCCTCAATGTTCTTCTCTTGTTCATTTATACCATTTTCCATTGATAATGTGCACAGTAATTCGTGAAAAATGACGATTTTCACAAGTTGTCTTCTTAATTCTATCTGCACGATTGTGATTGTGGTTTACATTCGAATTTATGTATCTGAGAAAAACTAATGCGAACAAAAACCAAAATAGTTTCTTCGTTGGCAACTTTTTTTTTAACCAATAATATTCCTATTGCGTGATTTAGCTAGTTGTGCAAATCAAAACGAAGAAATACGAAAAACATCGAACAAAAATAAAAACAAATTCGGAGAAAAAGTTTAATGCAATTATTTTCCAGTTATAATTATATATTCAACATTTTTTGGCCACATTTTCGTTTAAACATGAGAGAATGAAAAAACAATTGCACAAGAAAAAGTATACATATATATTTCATGAAAATTAAATGAGATTTTCATTTTTTTTTTTCGATGGAGAAAAAAGAACAAGCAGAGAGCTCGTTACTGCTGCCATACTAATACTTGCTATGCATGCATGCATTTAGTTTTGTGCTGAGTGTGCAAATTTTATCGTTTCATGTGCAAATTGCTTGGAAGATTTAATATTCTCTTCCTGATTTTTGCCTTTCGTCGTGTGCCGTCGCTGTCGTCGATCATATGCATATATAATCCATTCCTAGCTGCCACAATGCATATACAAATATTTTCTTATTCCCAAACGCAGAGAAAACAACAGCGAAAAACGGAAAATCTAACGAAAAAATCAACCGCTCTCGCTCTATTCGACTACCAATATAATTGCTTGGTTGGGATGGAATGCCCTGACATTGACATTTCATCGTGCGAACTATAATAGAACATATGGGGAGTCGCGCACGATGGAGTGGGATTTTCGCACACAGAGTTTTATTGGATCCGTTGGCCTCGTTTTATATCTCTTTATTTGCATTTCATGTTGTTTGGTAGTTTATTATCGAAAATGAGCTCGAAAGTCGGGTTATACTGAAAGGAAAAATTACTGCAGGTCATTTATCTATTTTTGCAAGAAAAAATAGAAGAAAAAAAATGGTTGGACTGATGAGTGAACGTTTTCACTTTTATTCGTATTTTTGCTTTGCTTTCCGTTGTGTACACTGTACAGTTTTGGCCCTTTATTGCATCGAGAATTGGCTGGCCATTTGTATTTAAATAAGGGCACAAGTGGAAAATATGCACATATGTTCACATAAAGGAAGTTTCATCAAATGAAATCGCCGCGGCATTGATCGGCAAACGGCTACAAGTGAAATTGAGAGCTCGAAAACAGTTTATCCAGAACAGTTGAACGATGTTGACGGAATTTACCACTCGCTGAAAACGAGAATCAAGTCAAACTAAACTCAACCAACCGGGAACTGTTTCTTCAAAAGCGAAAACTACCGAGAAAAATCAACGTGATAAATGAATAACATATAAGTTTAAAAAGCGGGTTTCGCACGTGAGCGAGAAACTTTACCGTAAAATTTACGAGTTCATGTCCCGTGTTTTTCAGCAAAGTGATTGTGTCGTCCTCACTCTGTCTTTTTCTATCTCGCGCGCGCACCTTAAATAAAAGTGATAATAGCGTTCCAGCGTAACGAGCAGTTAACTATGCTCGAACAATGAACATATTCATTTTTGCAAAATTATTTATGTAACAAGAACACCTAAGACCAAATAACCGCATTACAAGATAATTTATGAGTTTTACTGTTCGAAATCAACACGAATTCGTATGTTTGTTGGGTTACACTTTCGTGTTCTCTATCATTCTCACTTGCATAGTGACTCTCCGATAAAATTGTTGCAACTAAGTTTTTGAACGTGTCCAAGCATTATTAGGTTTTCAAACAATGTTTTGAATGTATTTTAAATCTCGTAGCCAAACATGATTCAAGTGGTAAGATTTAACGGGTTGCTTTTGTTCGGCATTGTGCACAATCTCATAATGTACACACACATTTTGAATAGCTTTTTAATATTGGATGTGGTTTTTTTTCTCTCCATCTCGATTCACGCAATAGGTCATAATGATCGAGGAACCGAACGGTAATAACACGGTCAATGTGAAGTTGTCATCGAGTTCAGTGATTCCGATCACCTCGTCGACGTCTAATGATGATTTGAGCCAGAGTTTATCCGCTTCCGAGTATACAGATGCCGATGAAAGTATGTCAGCACCAACGGAGTATTTAGCAGAGGTAGCTATTAAAATGCGAATTATTGAAAAATATATACATCGAAATCTATTTTGTGGCCATATTGATGAGTTTAGTTTTGCAATTAAAAAAAAAAAAACATCAATTGGTACTTATCTGCTGTGCGGTGATAAATCTGAGTTTGGTATTAATGTGAAGGTGAACCGAAATCGAAAAAAAAAAAATCTCCACCGAGTTAAACCATTTTACTGAATATTTCTTGTGCTCTGCGTATTATTCAAGTTTATAAAAGCGGAAAATGTTAATTTTATAAAAAATTAAGTCGAATATTTCCACTTGGCGCGCTGTCAATACTATAAACTATGAATTCATATTTAAATTATGTTATTTACCATGAGGATATTTGCGTTTGTGCAATGAAAAATCCCAATGTATTTACATGAGCATACTTTACGCTTTCACACCAAAACAGAATCCTGAAACTATACACCGCCATATATGAAATAGTATAGCATAAATTCGGGCTGTTTTACAGTGAGAAAGCGTTTACATTGAGGTCGTTTTGATCAATAATGAATAACGTATACTTCCATTTTGCCTAGTTCTTGTCAGCGGTGATGCAAAAAGACTATCGAAAAGCCCTTAAGTATTGCAAACTCAGTAAGTTATTGCTTTTGAATTGCTTTTCACACCTCTGTGGTGTCTTCATCTCGCACAGTTCCCGATCTCATTCAATGCACTTCTTTTTCACAGTACTTGACTTCGAGCCGAACAACATTACCGCCAAAGAATTTTGCCCATTGATTGAAGAACGCATGAGATGTAAGTTGTTGCTTTTATGTATGAAACTATTCTCATAAGTTATCTAATTGGACAAAAAAAAAGTTGTAATAATGTGTATGTGTGTGGTTTTTAAACACCGGCAGCAATGGAGGAGCGGTCGTCGAGTGATGAGGAAAATGAAAACTACAGCAATGTAATATTTACGCCTGAAGATGAAGAAGTACAAAATGTAGGTGTACCACATCGCCATTGTTTTTTCCATCGATTAGATGAGAATATCGATGACTTGGGCAACCTATCGAATAACAGTGGTGACAGTAGCAGTGAAGAATCTGACGAATACTACAATCAAAGTGATTTCGAGGAGAAATTTTCGATTGAGTCGAACAAATCAATATCATCGAATGCAGAAAGTGAAAATACAACACATTCCTATTCGAATTCATTGCTCGAAGATGAGGAAGATAACAACGGTGATGTGTCCGAGAGTGATTTTGAAGCAGATGATCAATACGAAGACGCACATCTACTTTTGCCCAATGCAAAAACCGAAAATATGCCCAATTTAAGCGACTTGAACAATGGTAGGTGCAAGAGATGGTCTTTTTAATGTGTTCCGTTTACATAGATTCTTAGAATATGCCAATGGTATTGATTTCATATTTCCGTCCATAGCTAAAATCATGTTCAGGACGAGAACGTTATTTTTTTCTCTCTTCTATACAATATAAATATATATATATATCATTTATTTTTTGTATGCTTTTTTCTACATCATTAGGAAATTATCAGCCAACATCATGTAGTGATTCTGAATCACCAACCGAACCACTGACACAAAAAGTTGTTCCAATCCAATAATATGGGACGAACGAATCGGACACATACATACACACACACACACACAAACACTCAATATATCCTCTCAGTTCCATTTTATACGGCATTCACATTATAGTTTTCATTAATCATCATCCAAAACATATATATACCACAGTTAGTATGTACCCTGAATCGTTTTCTATGTAGCACCACATGACAATTCGATTAAGACGAACGAGGTTTGCGATTTGTACCGTAGATTTTATGACTTTGGACAAATCACACGAACATACAATAGTTATTATGTTTTTAATCGGTTCGTGTTATGAGAAATATTTGCAAACCAATTAGTTTGCCAATACGATGACAGTCATAGAGGTCAACCACTAAATCATTGTGCTCAATAATCCGTTTTAGAAGATGATTGTTGTCATTATTTTTTCATTCCTTTTGAAAAAAAAAAAACAAATGAAAACCATACACAAAATGTCACATATCTCAGAACAGTTTAGCATCAAATTTATAGATATACAACGGAACATATATCACAATAAATGAGAAAAATTGTAAAATTAACATATAACTTGAACAACTGAAGTAGCATATTTGTCAAATACTCATTTTACTCTCCGTAAATTTTCTTTTCGAGAAGGATTAAAGGATTGATTTAGTTGAAAAGGAGGAATAAGAAGAATTCCGATGTGATGAAGCGATAGCTGGTACCAAATGAATTTTTGTATTAATTTTTTTTCTTCTGTGTAGCTCTTCTTTTCAAAACCATTTTATTACGAACTATTAGGTGTAAAAAGACTACAGATTGCCTTGAATTGATTCATTTCTGAACTGATCTAAGTTTGAGCATTTGTGTTTTTATTAGATGCTTTGAGCAGAGTTTTTGGTTCATGCAAAAATAACCATCAACTGAGTCGATTTGTTCGCTGTATTCTTTAGCGAACGGTCAAATCTCATTGGAAAAAATTTGGATTTTTTTTTATTACGATCAACAGTAACATCGAATGAGGCATGAATAAAGATTTAGAACTATTTTTTGTTTTGTTAGTTATTCAATTATTGCTAATGTACTATATTCAATGGGATAAATTACCAAAATGCAGAAATGCGAAAAAAAAACTATGAAAATAATTTGGGAGTGATTCTTAATTTTTTGTAATGCCTAAAAGTTTTTTTTTTTTTTCGAGCATATATTGACGTATAAACGCATATTTGCATCATATTTACTAAGTCATAATAATTATTTATCATCAAATTGGTGGAAATAAAATTGTCAGCATTAATTTTTATTCAATTCAAATAAAAAAAATTTCATTAAAATTCACATTAAGTTGTTTTGCAATTACCCCCAGAAAACGTGTTAACGCTGGAAAAATTACCACGCTTCTGCTTCTTTGGCAGCCGCACCACCACCATCACCACTACAATCATACGCCCAAAAGAAACACGTTTCAAATTATTATTATAAATTTGTTAATTGCGTTTTATTTTTTATTCCATTTGTAAGTGCTATGATACAAATATTCATTCATTTTTGTTGTTGTTGATGATGATTTTCATTTATATTTAAAATACTACAATTACGACTTCATTGAGTTTCCAAATTGTTCAGTTTTGTTTAGCATTCTTAGCTGCACTGACTCTCTTTCTGAATTGTATAAATGTTTATTTTATTCCATTGTTATTTTCCTTTTTTTTTTTTCTTCAATTATATAGTTTATCTACTAATCGTAATCTACTAAACGTGTTCACATGATTTGAACAATAAATGTTATGTGTTTAAAAATTCGGAGATTTTGCGGCCTTGTACAAACAATATATGGACTAAATATTGACTTAAAATGTGGTTTGATGATATGTGATTTCATTGTGTTCCTTATCTGCGAAAACACGCTTAGATTTTATTTGAGGAGGACACTTCGCGAGAATCGTTTACAAAATAAATGAATTTCCATTTCGATTTAGAGAGTAAAAAATATTATAGAACGAGTCCATTTCGCTTGAGCATAAAAATTGTCTGAATTAACCAGAATTGCAATCAAAGCATAAAAGCGGAGTTTTTTTTTTGCAGGGTAAGTTTGTCAAAAATACATTCTTTTCCAGAGCAACACTTCCTATCACTTTTTTTCAGTAGAAAAATAACGGCTAGTTTTTTTTTTCGTTTTTCGTTTGCAAGAAAATTATTTTGAATAATAATTAAATTTAAGTCAGATTCTCATGCTCGAAGCACGTCGAATTAAAAAAAAATATATATCTTTCGATGCCAACGAGTATCTATTCCTTATAAATTCCTCTTAACTCCTGAACTCATTCTGACATCATAATTTTCAACAGTCTTCTTAAACCAAAATAGATCTTTCTCATAAATTACAAATTAAATCCTCTAAACAAATCGAAACAGTGAGGATGCATTTTTTGTGACAAAAATGAAGAGAAAAAGAAGACAGAGAACTAAATTGAATAAATCAAAAAATATGTGGCCAATTTGTGGCGCTCCTTCAACGAATCGGAACATATTAGCAATGCTTGCATGTGTGAGACAATGAGGATGACAATAATCAAAATGAAAATAGTTACATAGATATATATATATATAAGTTTTTGTATAGAATAATGTTTGATGAATCGACATTTGCATGTTTGCATAATATATGTCGGTGTTGCTTGATGGATTGTACATTATACAATTCGAAAATAAAACGAATATAACAATATACCAACGTTCAGAGCTTTTTAACTACATATATAAATACGGAGACGAACTTTTTCAACAAAAATTGTTTTTTTTTTCTGCTGCCTTTTACTGTGTTGTTGTTTTCTATTTGCTATTCCTATCATATATTTATATATATTTATAAGTCGACAGTGTGCACTCATTACTTGATGCTGTCAATTGAATCTTTTGTTGGTGTGTCTGTATTTGTTTCGATAAGAAGTTCTGTTTTTGTGTAGCGTGTATGCTGTGAAATACGTTCGATAACACAGGATGCAGTGAGCCGAGCTTCTGCATCATGATCCCATGCATCTTCTAATGTGTCACACATTGCATTCAATCCCTGTAAATAACACCAAAATAATTTGTAAGTTAGGTATTCTTCACTTTTCTTCCACGTCATTTTCATTTCTTAGCTTTGTGTCAGAGTTTACTTACGCTGTGAACACGCCAGTATTCTGGGATTGGTGGTCGTTTTTTGTTTGTAACGATAAATTCTTGTAGTGCATCGAGTGTCGGATGCAGACCCAATTCAGTTTCAAATGGCAGAGTGTACTCAGGAACTGGTCCGCCGTGAGCGGTGCAACGTGAAACCAATTCCCACAAAACCAAAGCACAAGCATACACATCAATGCGAAGGAAAGCGTCACGAGTGAAATTGATTGCGCCTTCAAGAACTTCGGGTGCCATGTAGCGACGGGTTCCAACCTGGCCATGTGTATCACCGATTGGAGTGTCTATCGAAATAAATCGAAATAATCATTTTGAAGAAGAAAAAAAAAAAATGTCAAATTTCCTGACATATTCATTTTCGAAAAGCGAAATATCTACCTGGTTGAAAGACGAGAGCCAGTCCAAAGTCAGCAATACAAGCCGTCAAATCAGTTTTGAGAAGGACATTTTTGCTCTTAAAATCTCTGTGTGCAACAGCTGGCTTAAGTCCTTCAGTTTTCGTTGCCGGAATTTCTTCGTGCAAATGCATTAAACCACGAGCCATCGATTCAGCAATTCGGCACAGTTCGGGCCATGTAACTGTATGCGCCTTTAAGTAATCGCACAACGATCCATAAGGATGATAAGCAGTAATCAACCAATATTCTGATTTATCCAAATGTTTTTCAACACCGATAAATTCCAAAATGTTTGGATGTTTCATTCGTGTGAGCTGTATTAGAGAAAACCAATTAGTTTTATTTAGACGAACGATAAACTACTTTTGTACTCTTCAATAAAACTCACATTGAATATATTTTGTTCAACGACCCATGATTCTTTATCTTGTAACGGGAACACTTTGACAGCTACTTCTCCTTCTGACTTGAGCTGAGCACGCCAAACTGCACCAAAACGACCTCTGGCCTTCGGTTCAAGCAATTGAATTGGACGATGTTGTGTCAACATCGAGTTCGATCCATGTGCATCGGGTTCATTCTGTGCAAATGAGAATTTTTGTTGTTTCATTTCATTAAAATACTTTTGTGAACTATTACGTCAAAAACAACTGTCAACACAAACCGTTGGTATTTCATTGAACATCGCATTCTTTTTATTTTTGTAAAATGATACGAAGAATATTGCGACTCCGACCATCACAAGGAAACCGCAAACAATGCCAACAATTTTGTAAATGTTCATGTCGTCTGGAGGTGGAACTGGATCAGAACAAATGGAGGAACAATGAATATGATATTTTGATTATGACGATTTTTATGTTGATGTGAACGAATGCTGGAACAAACGTCTACTTGAATACTTACTGTTTTCTTCGACTTTTGGCGCCTTCGTTGTTGTCGGCATGAGTTTGTACTTCGAGTTGCACATGTGGCCCGTGCAACAACAGAAGTTCATTCTCTTCGGCATTGATGTATCGATACATTCCGAATTGTTGCATGCACTGTCTGTGAAGCATCCCTTCATTTTGACATGTGTTTCGCCTGGTAAAATATTTCAAACAAACGGAAAATAAAATCTTCGTTATTTCCAAAATGAAACCACACACAAAAAGAAAACGGGTACAAACCAGTCAAGTTGTCGGTGGCCCATAGCACGAAACAGGAGCCTGGTCGATCGTATTCGCTGTTAATGCATTTTGCCACATTATCCCGGCACACATCTTGTGTCGAATTAAAACACTCACACTCAACTCCTTTTGATGTGATTACATTGGCATTGGTTGCTGTGAATACAAGTATCAAATGCAAAAATATAAATGAATAAATCATTGTGGTGATACATTTGGAATAGTAAGAGAAAAACTGTCGAAATGATGGTGTACGAGCAGAGAATTTTCTTATGAAAAGTTGGTATTGTGATCGTATTGGTTTTCTTTTTTTCAAATTCCTCTCTATTCCACAACAACCAACATTATGAAATATCCCGTGGCACTGAAACATAAATGAAAATATCGAAATAGCGTCAACAGCACGTACATTACAATCTACTACGTCAAACGTTTACGCATCAAATATTCGTATATGAAAACTATTTAATTGGGCATATTCTCTCGTATTATTTGTTTGTCTTCTTCTCTTCTCATCTGTCTCTTTCTCGATGCTCGAGGCTTTTTTGATGTCTGGTCTAAAAATAAATGGTCGGAATCTGATGTCAAGTGAAATTTAACGAATTAATGCGTTAGACCGCAGAAGAATCGTCTGTTCGACGATTCGTTTGACTAAAAAAAGCCAAGTGGAATGGAGTGTTTTTTTTTTTATTCCTTCGTAGCAACTACGCAAGAAAAGCAATAGATGTGAATATCTCTCTAGGCAGTAGTATAGTATGCAGATTCCATTATTTATGTGATCAAAATAGAAAATACACTGTGAAAGGCATATATTAAAAGTCACATACGCACATCCATACAACTGCACACACGCATACAACACATAAATGCACGAGACACGCGCTCTTTGTCGCGACACTGGGCGACTTTTGATGAGAGAGAAAGAGAGAGACCGAGCTGAGTAAAAAAAAAAAAGTGTATTTCGTCTGAAACTGAACTGATAGATTCCAATTGATTGATTGATCAACAAAGTAATACGCGTCTTCTCTGTTTCAATAAATCTATTGATTTTCAATCACTAAATTTACACCACAAAACTGCTAAACATCCATATATTCACTTCTAATAGAAATAAAATAATATCAACTAACCCACAGCACCGATAAATAAAATCGCAGAAATATACTTCCACATTTTATTTGTGTTTATTTTGTTGTTGTTGTTGTTGTTGTTGTTTTATATTTTCAATAAATTCAACCAATTTACTGGCATTTGTCCACTAATATTACAAACGAAACGGTTTTGCTGGAAACAATTGTACGACTGTCTGATACATTTGTCAACAACATAAAAAAACCTACAGAATCGGCCATGTTGATTCCATTGTCTGCTTTGGGTCTGTGTATGTTAATGTGTATGTATTGAAATGCTTTTCATTCGCTCAGGTTGCTTATACTGAAGACTGTCTGACAGACCGGCGCCAGAGATAAAAACGAAATAACATAATACACACATACATAGAAACACACAAAGAAAAGTAGCTGAACAGTAACATTTAAGATCATCTAATCCCAATGAATGCTTTTATTTATAAATATCAGAATCAGTTCAAAGCTAAGTTATGCCATTGAAAACATTTGATTGAAAAATATTCATTCTAATTTTGAATCATATGGTTCATTTGGGGATAAAATATGTGACAATCTGTGTCGATTATCAAAATCTCAAAACCAACACTGAATTATAACATTCAAAAAATGGAATTAATTTTGAAACTAAGTTGAGTGTATTTCCTGGCGCCGGCATACTAATTACCAAACCAAACAAACATCGAACATAAAGTGTAATGTCAAAATGCTGAAGGCATCAAAATACTTTTTTCTTTCTGTATTCGGAGTATTTAATCGGTTACGGTCTGCATTAAGTACGTACAATCCTCACCTTATACCATTTCTATGTATGCACAATTTTTTTTTCATTGTTGTTGTTGCTTCTGCAGTTTATTTGGTGCTTAATGAATTTGACTTTCATATTTCGATTTGACTTAAATTTTAGAATACATATTCATAAATTAGTGAATGCTTGTCTTGATTTAGATCACAATACAGATAGTTTAATGGCTCAAAAGTTTGCATCTGAGCGTACATTTTGTTGGTGGTCAGTCGTTAGAGAATACTAACAAACAACGTTTACTCAATGACTCTTGTTACATCCATAAAGTAAATTTGTCCACTATCTGTTTCACTTTCCATTGCACCTGTTGAACTCAGCAATGTATCTCTTTTAAAATTATTGAGCATTGCATTCGTGTTTATCGTTAACATTTTCATTTGAATTTTCTTTTTCTTAAATCTTCTCTTTTCCAGTTGGGAAAAAATGGGGAACATTGAAAAAAGAAAAATTGCTAAAGTCAATCTTTTATCAAATCGGTCACATTTCCTCCTTCAGATTATTCAAAGTGTATGAAAACAACCAACTGCATTGACACTGGTACGTCAACCGCTTTGAGTATGAATATTGATCAAAAAAGAAAAATGCGAACTTTAGGCGAATTTGATAACAAAGTGAGCGCACATTTGTTTACATCGTAAACCATCAACAGTATGTGCGATGACATATGTGTTCTAACACTCATCATTTGGGTGTAAATGAAAATGAATTAGGCGAAAATGTTAAACAGAAAAGTTGAGAGGAAAAATGTCAAATGAAAAGAGATAGCTATATAGTTCACTATAGTTTACTATGTACTATATAGTTATCCCTTTTGCGCTCATTCATCATCGACATTTTTCCGCTCAACTTTTCTGTATTACATTTTCGCTCCAAACCATTCAAATGTTTGCTTTAGGGTTCAATTGTTTTGAACCGATAGTTGCCTATGTTTTTATATGGAGCACATGTTTATGCTATATTTAAGCAACGTCTTGACGTTGAACGCTGAACTATGAAACTTCTATATAAATATACTGCCAACTATCAATGACAGCAACAATAGAACGTATTTGTATTGCAAAATACTTCCACCTTTCAGATGGCGTCAAACCAAACGTCATTCTAGTCATTTTTGTCATTGGTTGTGACTAGCAGAAAATTCATAAGAATATTTTGCGCTTGAAATAAATTACGCTACAAAATCAAAAATGTTCAGAATTTCAAAAAAATCAGCGACGATAGTAGCCAAAAGTCAACATTTTGTATCACTTAGATGTTGTCGATTATTTTCAACTGCGCATTTATCTCAACCGATTCAGGCTCTGCAGGGTGACGAGAAGGATTGGGAAACAGCCAAATCGTATCAGTCGATTCCTGGACCGAGCGCTTTGAAAATGATGACACGATTTTTGCCCGGAGGTAAAACAAATTGAAATTCATAGGTATGGAACAAATTAGCATACATGTTGGTTTTAATTCGCAGGAAAATACCACAAAATCGAATTGATTGAGTTGCACCGGAAGTTGAAAGAAGAATACGGCTCGATTTCCAAACTCCCAGGAATTTTTGGGAATAAAGAAGTTGTAATGATTACAGACTCTACTGACTTTGAGACTGTTTTTCGATCTGAAGGCATATGGCCTAATCGTCGTGGAATCAGCACATTCAATCACTATCGATTAAAAATTCGTCCAGATATTTTCAAAGATATGGGCGGTTTAATTAACGAACAAGGCAAACCTTGGGCTAAAATGCGTTCGATCGTAAGTCCGATTATGCTTAAACCGGCAACCGTGAACGCATACATACCGGTCGTTGATGAAATCGCCATCGAATTCTGTGATCGCATTAAAACATTACGGGACTGTAAAAATGAATTACCCGCCAATTTTCTGTATGAATTGAATAAATGGTCGCTAGAATCGATAGCATTGATTGCCTTAGATCAACGTTTACACATCCTTGAGGGCAAAGAAGATGATAAAAATAGTAAGGCGTCTCAATTGATTCGGGCTGTTGATGACTTTTTTACACTTTCCTTTGAGCTTGAGATGCTTCCATCACTTTGGCGCTACATAGAAACACCCAAATATAAAAAACTTATGAATGTGTTTGAGAACATGACCGTGTAAGCTATATACAAAACACTCTTTTTGTTTGTAAATTATCGATATATCCCTTTTCAGCGCAACGATGCATTATGTGGATCAAGCTTTGGAAAAGTTGGATCAGAATGCTTCATCTAATCAAGACCGTGAAAAGAGTGTTCTTGAGAAATTGCTGAAGATTGACAAGCATGTTGCTGTTGTCATGGCCTTAGATATGCTTCTTGCCGGAGTTGATACGGTAAGATTGATAATTTGGTGCTCAAAAAGGTTTTTTCTTCACAAAAGACAAATATTCAGTTCAGACATTCAATAATAAACATCTTTTGTGTCATAGACATCATCATCAACTGCTAATCTCTTGTATCATTTGTCCAAAAATCCTGAGAAACAAGAAAAACTACGCGAAGAGCTCCAGAATTTGCACACGGACGCAAAGGGACGGTTAACACCATCAAGTTTTCAAACGGCACCATATTTACGAGCCTGTTTGAAGGAATCAATGAGATTAACACCAATTACAGCGGGAAATGTGCGGGCTGCCGGAAGAGATCTTGTACTGAAAGGCTATCAAATACCAAAAGGAGTCAGTAAAACTGGAAATATTTAAAATTAGGCGGTAATTTTCACTATAATTTTACTCTTATGTTCAGACTGATGTCATAATGACGGGTATGTTGCTGCATTATGAGGAGAAACACTTCAAAAAACCGACCGAATTCATGCCAGAACGATGGCTCAAAGAAGGCACTCCAAATGCTTGTCCAGAAGCGAAAGCATCAGATCCATTCGTCTACCTACCTTTTGGATTTGGACCACGCAGGTAAAGTGTTGTTTTTGTCTCTCTCTCTCTCTCTCTCTCTTCTCTTTTTTAAACGGAAAAAGCGCTTCAAAACTGAAAATTATTATTGTTTTTGATTGTAGTTGCGTTGGCAAACGATTCGCCCAAATGGAAATGAATGTGCTGTTCACGCGATTACTGAGAAATTTTCGGATTGAATTTGACTATGGACCGCTAAAACATCGGTACAGTTTTGTTCTGTCTCCAACTAATGACTTGAAATTTAAACTCATTGAAATTTAAGCAATTTATTATCTAATGGTGCTGTAATGGATGTTTTCATGCAGTTTTATACGTAAATCAACATGCATTTTATGTAAAAAAAAAAAGAAATAGTAAATTTTGTGTTTTTGTTATGTATCCAGATTTATTAAAATAACTCATCGAGTGTATCCAACATTTTAATAACTTCTTACGATGGTTCCTTCTGCGACTTGTTCATACGTAACATCATGAAATGTTCAGTACAAACTAAATTTTACGGAATAATAGTATATATACAATTGTACATCGTATGGCCAGTTGAATAAACACAAATTTGCAACATTTCATATTTTGTGTATGTATTATACAATCATGTTCTAATATTTTGAATCGAACTAAATTTAGATAGTTTCCGTTGATTTTGACGGCTGCGCGAGCACTCATTTGTTTACATCATATGTCATTGACAACAACTACACTACGTATGTGTCGCTGAGCATAAAAATGGGAATAAAGATCTGTTACAGCAACAACCGAACATAAAATATTATTCCCTAAAAACGTTACATGAATTTCCATCTAACGCGAGTGTAACATGAGTTGCATTAGAAACAGTATTAGCTCATGTTACACTCGCGTTGAATAGAAATTCATGTAACGTTTTTAGGGAACAATATTTTATGTTCGGTTGTTGCTGTAACAGATCTGTATTCCCATTTTTATGCTCAGCGAGACATATAATAAAGAAGAAGAGAAGGGGAACGCACTAATGACACACATGTGTCACTACAACATATGTGATCTAATCAACTGAGCCATGTGTATGTGAGAGTGGATTTGTGTTCAAGTGTTTTGATGTGATCATAGTGACTGTCAGAAAATTGAAGTGAAGAATATTCTCTGTTTATCTATAAGAAATAGCTGCGAAAATGTTGAAAATTTCGAAGAAATCTGTAGTGCAAATACTTATTAATCATGAATTTCCTGCTTTTCAATGCTGTCGACCTTTCTCCACAAAGTTGTCCCAGGTGAAGCGTTGTTTTTGTCTCACTTTTTTTCAAACGAAAATAAAGCACTTCAAAACTGAAAATTATCATTTTTTTTTGATCGTAGCAAGGGGAAAGTTTTCAACATGTGTGGGATATAGCTAAGCCATATAAATCCATTCCTGGTCCGAACGTTCTAAAATTGCTGCTTCGAAATTTACCCGGTGGTAAGAGATATTTTGGAAATTGTCTCCAATTCCACTAAAATGTGTTAATTGAGTATTTGTTTACAGGGAAATATTATAAAACAGAGCTCGTCGATTTGCATCGAAAATTCAAAGAGGAATATGGAGCAATTACAAGATTACCCGGACTTCTGGGCAATAAGGAAATTCTCTTGATAACCGATCCCGATGATTTTGAAACGGTTTTCCGAAATGAAGGTAAACGAGTACTGTAACGTTTAATTGTGAAATACAAATTAAAACATATAGTTTCGTACATAAAATGAAGGTATATGGCCAAATCGTCGCGGTATCGCCACATTTGAACACTATCGCCGAGAGTTGCGTCCTGATATTTTCAAGAATTTAGGCGGTTTACTAAATGAACAAGGTGAACCGTGGGGCAAAATGCGTTCAATGGTTAGTCCAATTTTGTTGAAACCGGGCACAGTAAATGCATACATTCCAGTCGTTGATGAGATTGCCATCGAATTCTGTGACCGTATTAAAACGTTACGAGACGAAAAAAACGAATTACCAGCAAATTTCTTATACGAACTTAATAAATGGGCTCTGGAAACGATTGCATCGATTGCTGTGGACCAACGTCTACACATTCTTGACGGTAAAAAAGACGATCAAACTAGTCATGCGAGCCGATTGATCAAAGCCGTTGACGATTTTTTCACATTATCTTTCGAGCTTGATGTGCTACCATCACTTTGGCGCTATATGAAGACAGCTAAATATAAACAACTTATGAAAGTGTTCGACGATATGACCGAGTATAAATCTTAACTATATTAACTTAGTTCTTATTCAGTCGACTGGACAGATGACTTAGAACGAAACCAATTTACGTTTCTCGTACTCTTTATTTTAGTGCCACATTATACTATATCGACGAAGCTATTGACAGGCTGGGAAAAACTCCGTCTGATCCCAATCGAGAGCCGAGTGTTCTCGAAAAGCTGCTAAAGATTGACAAACAAGTTGCAATGGTGATGGCATTGGATATGTTTTTTGCTGGTGTTGATACTGTAAGAAGTGTTGTTAATTTTCTCTTTATCTCAATGTGATTTTAACTCAATATAATGACTTCCACTTAAAGACATCTGCATCGACGGCAAACTTCTTGTATCAACTGGCAAAGAATCCCGATAAACAGGAGAAATTACGTGAAGAGCTTCAGAATTTGCAAGTCGATGGAAATGGACGATTAACGCCAAGCAGTTTCTTAACAGCACCATATTTGCGCGCCTGTTTGAAAGAGACAATGAGATTAGCACCAATAGTATCGGGGACAGCGCGTGCGGCGGGAAAAGATTTAGTAATCAAAGGCTATCAAATACCAAAGGGTACCGATGTTGCGATGGCGAGCATGCTGTTACATTACGATGATGAACAATTTAAAGATTCTAGTAAATTCATACCAGAGCGATGGCTCAAAGAAGGCGCTCCGAATGCTTGTCCAGAAGCGAAAGCATCCAATCCATTCGTCTACCTACCATTTGGATTCGGGCCACGCAGGTAAAGTGTTGTTTTTGTCTCTCTCTCTCTTCTTTTTTTTAAACGGAAAAAGCGCTTCAAAACTGAAAATTATTATTGTTTTTGATTGTAGTTGCGTTGGCAAACGATTTGCTGAAATGGAAATAAATGTGTTGCTCACGCGATTGTTAAGAAAGTACCGAGTTGAATTTGACTATGGGCCGCTGAAATATCGATATAGCTTCGTGCTATCACCGACCAGTGATTTGAAATTCAAAATCACTGAAGTCTAGTGGCTGTGTGTTTGTGTGTGTGTGTGTGTGTGTGTGTGCGGGCGAGTGTGTTCTAATCAAATGTATTGATTAATTGGTATTATATTCAAAACTTTGATGTAATTTCGATCACGATATTCATGTTAATAATAAACAAAATGTAAATTTAATTGGTTTTTGTTATGCACATACTATGTACAGTACATGTAACAAGTGAAATTAAAATATTTTCATGAAACTGCCTGTTGGTTTTATTTTTTCATTTTATTTTTTTACTCGTTCTGTTTACATGATTTTGACAATCCGAAAAGTGTAAAACTGACTCATATTTATTGAAAATCCATAGAAATCGACGAAGACGAGCAACAGATGAAAAGACGAGCGCGCAGTAATAATCATAAACGGTAACCACCGCACACATACACGCGCATACACATAATTTCATATTTTTATTTGCGTTTCGACTGCAATTCTAGACCAAATGACCTTAGATCAAAGTCATCGGAAAAGGTCATTTACTATCTCAGTGCGCGCGCGTTGCGATGCGAGCCATGCGATTGATTTGGTTTGGTGTGTGCGCCGATGGGTTTGTTGCTGTTGCTGCTGTTATTTGTTGTTGTTCTTGTTTTACTGAATTGCCGAATGTTGTATTGTGCATTCAAATTCAATGCCGTTCATTCGATCAAATTGTACGAATTGGGCGATAGTGCTGCACCGTTATTTGGTACCGCTCTCTCTTTCTCCGTTCACATACACAGGATCGGACGGGATGGCGTTCTTCAAAGATAGCGCGCGTCATATTGATAGATAGAGAAAGAGAGAACGAAACTCAAATGCAAGTGTATGTCGTCCGTTCACAGTCCAAAAGCAAAAGCAAAAGCAAAAGTGAAAGAAAACAAGAAAGAAAGAAAGAAAGAAAGAAAGAGAGACAGAAGAAAAAAGAAGCAAACGAATTATTCCGTGTCTGTGGACAGAATGAAATAAACGATTTTTTCCCCGTATACCGAAAAAATAACAAAATTCTTATCATCAAATTTGTCAGTCTTTTGTTGAGTGCTCGTTTGTATGCTGTTAGCGAAGAATTTTCGGCTTATTATTAAATATAATTGCAGCTCGTCGCATTACAATTTTTTTTCTTTCATTTTTGCTTGCCGCAATTTTTCATCGATCCGTAATCTATTTAGATAAAACATTTCTGTTGTTGTTGTTGTTGTTGTTGTTGGTATTGTGGTTGTCTTAAGGTGAGTTTTGTAATTTGGAGTTTGCAAAAATTAATGTGTTGTCTTGACAGTAAAAAGATAGAGAGGAGAAAAAATAGGCATTCGATACGCTAATTTCACTTCAGATATTTAATAATGGTTGCCATTTTGCGTTTGTTTTTACTTCTTTGGTTACTGCTGCTGCCGTTGCTGCTGTTTTTGTTTTTGTTGTTGTTGTTGTTGTTGCTATTTCTGCTGCTGTTTTTGTGACTTCATGTCGTTGGTTTGGTTGCTTCATCGAAACGACTGATAGGTTTGGCGCACGCTGAATTGTTTGGTTTCATTTGCATTGAATGTATACTTCAAACGGCCAAAGAACACCCGAACAACAAATGAAGCATTATAAGATGGGCAGAGTTTTGAAATCGAACAGCATAGCAAAAAATAAAAAAAATACCGAAATCGATGAAAAAACACGTGAAAATAATGAGCCGACATGGAAAACTAGAATCCATCGTGTGGCCATTGAATTTGCCAGTACGTTCATTGGTCAAGCGATGATGATGCAATCCGACAAATTGCTGTGGACTCTGGAAAAAACAGCGACATGGATTTCCAACGGCAAAACTGGTAAGTGCAAAACAAGTAACGATCGAAAAAAAAAAATATCATTATTATTATTTCACATACGGAAAACACTCGACGCACCCAAACAATAATTGATTACAACACACACAGCCGCCGCGCCATCAAATTATTTCGGCACGCAAAACTATGCTGAAGTGATATAAACGCAACGACATTCTGACGAGATACGAATGCATTCCATTTTCATACAGACTTAGTGCGGACACTAAGACAGGAAGCGATGAGATTAGATTAGATAAAATTCCATGCATTCTCACTGTTTATGAAATCTTATGTGAATTTTTAATTGAAACTTCTGTTTATGTTAGTCTTTCTGAAATTGTTTTACATTTCAAACAGAGTCAACCAATTTGATTGAGTCATTCACATGAATGAAGCAGTTTAATTATCATTTCATTATTGGCTACAAATGAAAATAAAACCTGTCAGTCATACAATTGCAATAGGCAATTAATAACTTCACTAGAATCAATCGCATAATAGATAAACAAAAAAAAAAAATTAATCAACCGCGCATCGATTACTCACGTAGAATAGAAAACATTAAATCGATTTACAATAGCTGAATGTATGGAATAATGAATCTGCTGTTGATGTTGTTATACTTTTCGTTACTATAATAATCGATTTTTACAACGAGTAAACTTCGTGTTTGTAATTTTTCCATCAGTTGTTACTACAAGCTGAGTGTTTGGGTGTGTATTTGTGTAGTTTTTTTTTTTTTAAATTGACTTCAATTCACTCACTACTCGTTGTTTATTACTTGTCGAAGCAGATGGAAAGAGAGCAAAAGCGCCAGCTAGCTTGGTTAGACCACTTAATTGGTTCTTCTTTTTGCCAACTTTGGTTGCATTACGTTTCATTCGTGTTATGCTATCGTTGGTGTCGATTTGCCTAGGATTTGATGAAATTGAGGCATCAACAATGGTAACATTTTTGCATGAATCGCGTCGCAACATACGACAAGTATTGCTGGAAGCAAAGCGAAACAAACACCGGAGCTCGGCTATCGACTATGCCAAACAGTCTGCCTTATCATTTCTATCTAATCTGAGCAATTGTATTTCCCACATGCCACCCGATGCAACAGACAAAGTACACAGCAATAAGACTTCGGTAATTGTTGAATAACTGTTCATGAATTATTGGTTCAATGTTACATACATGGATGAGCTGATTGTTTTTTTCTTCTCTTCATTCAACAGTTGAATGCATCGGTGACGTTTGCAACTGAAAAAGATGACCGAATTACTACGAATAGTGAAGATAGCGATTTGGAAGATCAATTATACGAAGATTTCCTCAAACGCCCCATTGAAACGTCTGACACAGATGATGAAGATTTCGTGTTTGAGCTAAACGGCGACGATATTTCTGATACGGACAGCCAAAGTAGCGTCGCCACAGAAGATCTGTCTGATGACGATGCCACTGATGAGGAAGACACAAGTGAAGTAAGTATTCAAAATGGTGAAGTCGTTTCGAAAATTTTAATAATGCGGTAAATGTGCGATTCTAGGTTATAACGAGCGTACCGAAACATACAAATGGAAACGCAGCCGATAATGACAGTAATTATTCAGCTGCTACAGGTACCATTGCCCATCAATCCGAAGAAGGTGAATTGAATAATAGAAACCAGAACAAAAATACAAAACCAAATGAATTTTACTGTTTTTCTTGGAATTTGGTGTTAATATTTAACCTTTATTCATTTGATTTGTAGCCAATTTAGATTCATATGATGCTCAATCGTCAACGATGGGAAATGATGTCGATGCTATCTTAAACAGATTGATTGAGGATGCCGCCACAGCTACAGAAGCCAAAGGCGTTCCATCACATAATCGCGGTAAAAATATCAATCGTCATCATAAAAACGGCCGCAACCACGCAAAAACACAAAATAATGGCAAACATTTTAATGGAGCTCACGCTCAGGCCAAAAGCAAAAATGTTAAACATCATCAAGTCGAGTCTACGACCGATTTTATTGCCGAAGCTGCTGCAGCTGACCGTACTTAGATCCATTCACCTCAAACAATTTTCAAATGTTGTACCCAAATTGCGCTGAGAATGATTTATATTTTTGATTATGTGTTGTTTTTTTTTTAATGTTTTTTTTGCCATTTTTCTTTCGAACACTCATTATTCAGTGGAATTTTATTCGATAACAAACAAGAAATCCATTTGAGTCACTTTTCCTGCGAAAACTGTGAGAAACAAATGGTGAGATGAAGAAAAAAAAAAGTGGTGTCGTAAATTTTGCAATGACAAAAAAGATTTGTACAGAGAAATACGCATTCCGCAAGCAGAATTATAAAAACAGCCAATTGCAAAGCAAAATTTAAATAGAACATAGCCACAGAAAAAAAGTTAAACATTCTTACAATCACGAATACACATTTGACACATTCATATACATTTATATACGGGTTCAGCCGGCATATACAAATATACATTTAGAATTGCATCAAATTTATATATAAATATTATACATATTCCGTGAACATGATAGAAAAAATTAAAAATTATAGCAACTTCAACAGATTTTTGTACGCCTTTGTCATACCTACCGCTGTAATTTAAAATTCAAATTGAATAATTGTTACGAAACTGAAAACGCACATACGCGCCTACATTTAATAAACGATTACATACTACATTTATCGAGTGTGTGCTGAGCGCTCATAAAACCGTGTATATTGAATTTATGTGTCACGACAATGGCTCTCTCTCTCTCTCTCTCTCTCTCTCTCTCTCTCTCTCTCTCTATCATTTTCTCATGCAACTCGGAAAAACAAAAAGAATCAGTTTCACCAAACGGTTCGATTGAATCGTGTGGTAGTCATAGGCCATGGTTATATAGCATTCTTTCCGTTGGCAGCAGCAGCAGCTGTAGTAAAAGCATAATCCAATTCCAGTTTACAGCTTTCATGCCTTGCCTTTCAATGCGCATGGTCAATGTCTCGGTGCGTTGAATGTTGGTGGGTGAATTTGGCGGAACACTTAAGCGAAATATTACAATCGAGGCAAGAATCGAGCTGAAAAGCTGAATGGATTGCTGTGCTAAAAGGAACAAATACACACGAATGGAAATCCAGTTGAGCAATGCACGATGACGACGGTCGGTCTGTGACAGATGACTGACCGAAAACCAGATGGAATGCCGTGCTTACGACTATATTTTTTTTTCCTGCTATAGCACATTTTGCAGTAAAGTTTTTGCTCAAGCGACTGAATGTACGTGTATGTATGCGCGCCAATAGGCGCATATTACACTAAAAACAAATTTTTTACACAAATACACACGCACCAAAAAGAGGCGCCAACACATGTAAATTGTGATGATTTTCCCCATTGCTGCTACTGAGAATATTGCGGAATGTCTCGAATATCGCTTGAGGCAAAAATGTTGTCGATTGTTGAAGTTTCGCATGTGTATGCGTACCACATCGTCGCTCTCTTACTTGGAGCACACATATTTCTGTGTATCTGCAACTCACCACTTGATTAAATGAAACATTAGTTTCACACCAAACTCGACGAACGAAAACACACACAATTTTTTGTTTCGTTTTCTTTTGGTGTTTCCACGGCTAATCGAATCCGATTGGAATCCAATTAACATAAACACTTAGTACATTCAAATAACAAACAAACAACCAGTCGCAATAAAACAATCAACCCCTATTATGACAATTGTGATGTAGTTTAAGTAAGAACACTGCACCAAACAAGTAAATAGAAGAGTAAAGTTGACAACAATGAAAGAGAGAAATTAAAAAAAAAAAAAAACACGGCGTGGATGTTTATTTGCATTCTTTTCGTTTTTTGCAACGAAAACCTGTCAAACGATTTATTCTTTTTGTAATGATGTTGTCGCTTTGTAGAAACCAATTTAAGTATTTTCCTTGTCGCATTTTCATTGCTTTACTTTCGGTCAACTCAGTTCAGTTTCGTTTAGTTTGATCTCAGTTTCTGATTATCTCAGATGTTGATGTTGTTCGAATCAGTGTTACTCCCAATTCGTTTATATTGTGTGTTTGTGTTTCTTTTCAATCTCTCCGTAGGTTATGTGTTGTGATCCTAGTTTCAATTGAATGATTTTTGTTCCAACGGCAACGTAAAATAAATGAAATCAACCACAAAAAAACCAACGGTCTATAAATAAAACAATATGAATTATTTAACGACAAAATTTCGTGTATGGAATGAAACTATTTCCCACCAATTTTTCCATTGATAATGGCGGGGCACATGGAGAACGAAGTCAAAGGTAATTGTAAGGCACGCAACTCTCGTGTCAAAAACGAAATAAAAAAACATTAATCATATTGAAACTTATCGAATTAAAGGTAACGTAAAGTGTTCAGAGTCGGCGTTTGTGCACACAATTAAAGGGATTAAAAATGAGCGAACAATCACATTCTCAGTGTAAGGCAAAAAAAAAAACGGCGCCCACTTATTTTACATTCTGTGTGCTATAGCTAATGGGGAAACTGAGGTTATTGCATATAGTGAAATTAAAGTGGAAATCAAAATCAAAGTCACGGGTTTTTCGATCTGAAATTGTGGCACGCAAGACGATATACCCTTATCGATGTATAAGTACAAAGGTTGACAATCAATATCTTTTTTGTATTTGTGTTGGGATTTAAAATAAATCGAAACACAAGTGCACCAATTTTCATTCTTGTGCCACTTTCAATAATAGAATACTGTCATGTTGAGCTTACTGAAATAATAATTGGACAGCTGTTTGGAATTCTTTGAAATTGCTCCTTTGTGGATTTTGCATGAAAATCGATGAAAAATATCCGAAAACCATGTGAATATATCACTATTCACCGTTCACCGGGAATAATTCGGTCCCCGTGTGATAGTTTAATGTTTTATGCGCAGAGAGAATTCTAATTGGATTGATATTGACAGCGAACAGATGCAACCAATGAGTTGACGATCGCTATTTGATTTGCGTTTTGTTTGTTGGTTGGTTTTTTCATCGTTGTTTTTCTTCTTCTTCTTCTCAACATGTGATCACAGAAGACAAGACAACCGAACAAAGAGCACATTGTTTCAAACATCTAAGTAAATCAGCGTCAGAGTTAGATAGTCGCGATAGCTATACAAATGTACCGCAACCGAGTCCATCACCGCAACGAAGTGGGAGAACCGTAGCCGGCGTTTTGCAGCGAACGCATGGATTTTTAAGCACATTAAAAGTAATACACAAAGAAGATGATGAAGAGGAAGAAGAAAACGTCATATTATTGACGGACGCTAATTATACAATCATATAACAATGCAATGCTGATTATTTTGCAGCATCGCTGGTCACGAGGAAGGAGCAAAGAAAGGGGATATCATGCACATTCACACCACCATCAACACAACATCGATGGCGAACTGCAAGACAGTGAAGGCACCGATTATGCTGCCGATAATAGTTCCGATCACAGTAGTTCGGCAACCCATTCGCCACGACATAAACCAATAGCGTACGGAGATTCACCGTTGGCCCGGACCCATTTAGCAAAACTCGATAAACAAGATTCACTATCTAGTCAACATGACCCGACCAATGTCGATGCCGTAAGATCTTCAATATCAGCTGCACAGGTGCACAAACACGCTTTTTGTCATATGCCACATGATGCACAAAATTTGATTTACATTTTTTTTTGTTTCATTTCTTTCTACAAATAAATCATGCTCGTTAGATCTTTGAATTTATCCGATTAGTAGAATAGACAGGCTACTAATCAAATAAAAACATATTCTGTGTCGACTTTATGACATGCGGCACGAACAATAATTTATAAATTCCATTATGGACTGGTTGGCAATTTCCAAAGCTCAAAAGTGAAAACGAATTGTATCGATTCATATGTGTTTCCATATTCCAAATTTCGTCTAGTTTCGCGGTGTTCTATTGAATGTTTGAATTGATTTTTTTGCAGCAGACTCACTTGAGTCTTGTTCTTAAATTACCCATTCAATTTATTCGAATCTTTATTCCTCGGTGGTTGCGGAAAACTGAGATAAAACTTTTTAATTGTTTTTTTTTTTTAACTTTGTTTGCGTCAACAATTCACATTATTCGACTCGGCGACAATTTTAACTTTTATCACTTTTCTACATTGCACCACACTTAGCGAATTGATAAAAATTCAACACTCGATTCGGCCAAAAAATTCTGTATTTCATTGAATTTGGGACACGTTCACAAGAACCAGATTGATTATTTCCTACACAAATATGTTATAAAGAAATGATTCGATTTCGATTTCATTTCTCATGCTCGGCTTTCATGTCATACCATAAACAATAGTATAAGCTGACACGTTTGCTTTCGAAGTTCATAGCATTGCCATTAATCAATAGTCAATGTTTGGTCATTTTTTGTTGTTGTTTTCAATTTATCGGCGTTTCCATTTGTGACCGTTTGAAATTAGTTCAAATTCATTGACTGATAAAATATAGATGCATTTCTGAATCATTATTAGACATTCAAAAAGACATTAAAATTAAATATTCCATTTGAAAAAAGAGTCACACAAAAAAGCCGTTCGAATTGAATACGGCGAGAGAAAAAAAAAAGAATGACAATTTCAAAAACTAAACGAAGGAAAGTTTGGCACAAAAAATAAACTCCATTTCACTTTTACGCGGCGATTATTCATTTATTGTTCTTTGGTGATTTATAAATGTCATTGTGCGAATGAGACAGAGTTGAAAAGCAATGGAATTTTTATTGGATGTCAGTGATATGATGGCGTATTTCATTGAGGGAAAAAAAAACGGTAAAATTAATGAGTTTTGATGTGTGTTGTGGTTTTAGGCTGAAGAGTTGCAGCGCAAACGAGAGGCTACACTGCGGCAGCATGTCTTTTTTCAACTTCGCATTCACCTAATCAGCGGCCATAATTTAAAGCCAATGGATAAAAATGGTAAAGATTTGGTTCAAATGACTGTCATAAATTTGTTGAAGCTGAAATGGCATAATTGAAGGTTTTGTACCTTTTTTTTTTTAGGTACCAGTGATCCATATGTTAAGTTCAAATTGAATGGTCGACTGTTGCATAAATCAAAAACGGTACACAAAGATTTGAATCCAGTATGGGATGAAACATTTATTGTCCCCATCGAAGACCCATTCCAGAGTATTCAAATAAAAGTGTTCGATTATGATTGGGGGCTCCAGGATGATTTTATAGGCTCAGCATTACTTGATCTCACCACACTCGAGCTGTCACGAGTCACTGAACTCATGATTCCTCTTGAAGATTCAACGCAGCCTAGCGGCACAAATGCAACGAGTAAAAGTAAGTTGAGAAATAAATTTACACCGTTGTTTTTGTAATAATATCAAATTGGCAACTCTTAAATGAACACAATTCCTCCTCCGGTAGTGTTAATCAAGTTAAATGCAACACTTTGGCCACGCACACAAGAAGATAAAGAGCAGGTTAGTTTTATTTTTGGATATAGTATATTTTGCGATCGATTTTTAAAGAAGTTCGCGGAAAAAAGAAAGTTTATAAATACTAATAAAATGCCATTCGAATAAACCCAAACCCAAACGAAACCAAACAAAATAACAAATTGGCAGTATTTTCAACGTAATCCGCGTCTTGCCGAAACGTCCAAGCGAATGAAATCGCAAATTTGGAGTTCAGTCGTTACAATCGTATTGATTGAAGCTAGAAATTTGCCCAGTGATACGGAGAATAATGTATGCGAGCCGTATGTTCGTTTTCGGCTTGGCAATGAAAAGTACAAGAGCAAAACCTCATGGCAAGCCCGATGGCTGGAGCAATTTGACTTACATCTGTTTGACGAAGAGCAATCATTAGAAATAACTTTGTGGAATCGAAGCACACAGTACGGTAAATGTGTAGTCGATTTACGGAATTTTCCACGCGAAGAAACGCAAAGCCTATGGCAACAACTGGAAGATTCCTCAACTGAAGTCTATTTTATGTTGACAATCAGTGGAACAACATCATCCGAAACGATAACCGATTTAACCAATTTCAAACCGGACGAACGTGAGCATCTTGTGATTGAGAAACGCTACAGATGGCTGAAAACTTTTCAAAATCTACGAGATGTGGGACATTTAACGGTAAAAGTGTTCGGTGCAACGGGATTGGCAGCGGCCGACTTGGGAGGCAAATCCGATCCTTTCTGTGTTCTTGAATTAATCAATTCACGATTGCAAACACAAACCGAATACAAGACCCTATCACCGAATTGGAATAAAATTTTTACTTTGTAAGTATATCAATTGATTTTCTTGTGCCGAATCGAAGAAAACTACCATAGGTGAATGGTTTCGATCTTGATCATAAAATTTTTGTTTTGATTTACAGTAATGCTTTCTACCGTTAAATTAAGTAATGCTTTTGCCCACTTCAGTGGTGCATTTGACCATTAATTCACATACAATCCCGTCCGAATCGGATGAAATTCGGGTATCATCCAACTGTACGCTACACTCGAATCACATCCATTTGTGACGGTAATAACATTAAAATGTGTATGCAAATACACGATGTAATACGGGTTAAACCCGTAGGTAAGTTGTTGTATGTAAGATTTTCTCAGTCAGTTGGTCAATTTCAATATCCACACCAATATTTACCAAAGTCATAAATGGATCTAGTTCAAGTGAAGCGTACAGTTGGATGATACTCGAGGTGGGTCCATTTATGACCTTGTTTCACACGTGATTTGTTATTTTTAATCAATTGATAGATTCATAATCGTTTTTATATCCTTCTAATTGATTTGTTTTTACCGTTTTTTCTACTTCCATCGTGACGTTAAAAATGACGGAAACTACACACAAATGCGGGCCGTAATTCGACCGTTTACATACGCTTGGTAATGGATGTATTTGCGTTAACAATTGTTTCTTGGGTACAGTAATGTGAAAGATGTAACGGCTGTGCTAGATGTAACTGTGTTTGATGAGGATCGTGATCATAAGGTTGAGTTTCTAGGTCGAGTCTGCATTCCGTTGCTTCGCATCCATAATAATGAAAAGCGATGGTACGCATTGAATCTATGTGGTCATTGCTTTACCTTTAGTCTTAAAATAATGCTTACTTTTCCATTTATCATTTGTTACTAGTTTCCATTAATTGACCACTATCAGTTCGTTATATTGCTATTAATTTCATTTCTTCTTTCTGATTCTTCCCCTTAGGTACGCACTGAAAGATAAGAAAATGTTCAGCCGAGCAAAAGGCAATTCGCCGCAGATTCTGCTCGAATTGAATGTGGTGTGGAATCCGCTACGAGCGGCAGTTCGAGCACTTGAACCACAAGAAGAAAAGCTCGTACAGCAAGAAACAAAGTTCAAGCGTCAAATTTTTCTGCGTAATGTGAATCGTCTAAAATCGGTTGTTCTCTATTTTCTTGAATGGGGCCGATTCATCCAGTACGTATCGCCCGAAAACCACAATCAAATAACCCGTGAAAAGTGAAAATTAACAATAAAATTAACGATATACGTAATTTTTCTTCTTTTCTTCATTTCATTTTGTTTGGTTTGTTTTTTTGTTTTTGATTTTGCCACCAAACAGAAGTTGCTTTGAATGGGAATCTCCGATACGATCAACAATCGCATTCATACTGTGGGTTTGCGGTTGCATTTGGATGGATATATCGACAATTCCAGCAATTTTGATGATTATCATGCTAAAGTATGTATTAACACGTATTGCGTGTGTGTGTTTCGGTTTGTAATTTGCCCAATGTCAATTTCACACAAATAAAAACTGACGGAATCAATTTGTTAAATTAGAAATTGGTTCGTGCGATGGATTACGGGCACGTCAGCGCAGTCGGCCGACAATGAATTCGATTATGGCAGCGATGACGAAGATGAAGAAGACAAGGACAGGGAGGAGAAGAAGACCATAAAGGAGCGCTTACAAACGATTCAAGAAGTTTCGCAAACTGTACAAAACTCAATCGGGCGTTTGGCTTCGCTGGGCGAAAGCGTTAAAAAGTGAGGCAAATTGTTTTTTTTTTTCCTCTTCACAACCGCGATACATCGATCACCCATGAGAGATCGTCAAATGAACGATCGCATGATCGCTTTTGAATTTCGATTTTATCTCAATATATTCATCTTTTCATTTCGGTGTCTCTTTCGCAGCACATTCAACTTTTCCGTATCAGAGCTGAGCTGGTTGGCCGTAATTCTGTTGGTTTTGGCCTGTCTCGTTTTGCACTATATACCAATTCGTATACTGTTATTGGTCTGGGGTTGTGTTAAATTTTCACGTCGTCTACTTCGTCCGCATACGGTTCCAAACAATGAAGTACTGGACCTGTTATCGAGAGTGCCTGATGATGATCAACTGGTATGATAAATCATTCCTAAACCAATCGATTTTGAACGAATCTTTCCTATCCAAATGACTGACTAGTATTTTGTAAATGTATCATCTTTTTCGCTCTCTTTCGCTCTCTTTCTCTCGCAGATAATGTACAGAGAAATCGCGCCGCATATAGCTCCCGAGATCCCCCGAAGAGATTTGCGCAAAAAGTACAAGGCCTTATAAAATGCCTTTTAAAGGCTGCCTAACTTCTGAACATTCAATGAAAACTGTTGAAAGCACATTTGGCGCAATTATTCGCATAAAATATATTGTTGACTGTGAACGCACACACATACACACACACACACATCAGTCGTCTAGGTCTGAAACCCAATCCCTTTACACAAATCTGAAGAAAGAAAAGACTACCCCAATTTTTGTTTTTCTATGCAACTTATTCATGTTTCGAGATTCTCTATCATCATCAATAATCTTTATCATAGTTTCCCACTTCTTTTTCTTTTCATATATTCATAATGTCATTCAGTGTTCGAAATGAAACTTTTTAAATTTAACAAACTTCAAATGTTCAATTCATACCAAATAATCAAAACTTTATTTCAGATTTTAAACAACCAAAGAGAAACTACAATACTTTAAAAAAAAGAAACAAAAATTTTATTTTATGGCCTATTTGCATGGTTTCCCCTCTTATCCTCTTGTGTCCAACCGATCGCTTTTAACTTCTTATCAACTAACACCAAATAATCTATTTATATATATATATATATTAGTATCAAAACAATTTCAACGCAGATTGTAACAAATCTATATGAAAACAAAAAACCAAACTCTATGAACACTAAACATTTTTTGAATTTCGTCAATTTGAAGATAAGAAAATGTAAGAGATACTGTTATTGTAAATACTAAACGAAATACACCAGTTTTTCTGTACGCTTATGCTATGCGCTTAAGTAGCTTATTAATCAACGACAAACAAAGGGAACCTGCAATTTATTCTCTGTCTGCACAATGCTTATTTGATCGTCAATTATTCAAAATAATAAGAATAGCCATTTCTAAACGGTTTTAAATTGATAGGTAATGAATTTTAGTAAGCGTCAATTCTATGCACTTCAAAGTGAACAAAATAAGAAAAAAAAGAAAGACAAATGATTTTAATTCAATCAACTAATGAACGATGCCTTATTTCCGTTTTCACTGATTCAAACGTCCAATTAATTTTTAATGTGAAAACCGACAAAAGAAAAACAAACGCTATAGTGAATGAAAACAAACGTTAAATGAGCATATATATTGAATTTGTTAATTTAAATGGAATGAAAGCTTGAAAAAAAAAACTATGCATAAATTTTTACGAAGTATGACAAAAAATGATACTTAGAAGTGTCGCATTGAAACACTTGACACTCAGTGCACATAATGAAAACTATAACGTGCAAAATTTTTAATGAGCAATTCATTTTGGTTGCATGTCTTGTTGCGCTGACTTAGATCTTAAATTGCATTCATTAAATCTGCAAATTTTTGTAAAATCGTGATGTATTTATTCGTTTTTTTTCTCTTTCATTTGTTGTTAACTTCTGTCGCTCTGATTTAAACTCACGAAATTTCAGTATGCGCTGCTTCTTGAAGCCACCTCAAATCAACTAAACGACAGCATTATTCTTATTTTCAAATACATTTAGATATTTAGATATATTTTTATCATAATTTTCTTCCAAATCAAAGTTCTATATATGTGTGTTAATACAAACTTTGTTGCATATTGTACATAAATAAATTTATACATAATAATATTTTAAATGCAAATTTAATTGAATAATTCGACGAGCAAGAATTGAAAGAAGCAAATCAAGAAGGAAAAGAAGAAGAAGAAGAAGAAGAAAAGAGCAAACGAAGTAAGCAACAAATCGATAAAATATTTTACAATAACAATGCAACGTACAAAATACGATATAATATTAATAACAAGATCGAAAGACAAATAAATCACCTACAGACACACAAACACACATGCCCATTACCTTGCAATTCAATCATCATGAAAATCAATTTTCTCTTTTTTCATTTTTCTTGAACACAAACACAAACACACACACACACACACACACACACACGATAAGCATTCATTCCAGCCAAACACGTTACCATTTCCAGAGTCCAATCAACACCACTCACACACACACATCACGCATACACTAACAATCACATCCATTCAAGTCTCAATTTTTTTTATTTCATCTCTGCGTCTGAATTTGATCTAGAAATTTTTGAAAAAAAAAAAAAAACTAATGATATTGTTATTTTATAAACATTTACAAATGTTAAATCAAAATTAATTCGTCATCCCGTTTAAATGAATAAATAATTGAAAAATTGAAATTGCGTTTGGTTTAGTCTAGTCATTTATTTGATATTAATTACGCAGGATTAATGCGGTGACTAATTTGTCGACCGAATGAGGGACACATTTCACATTTGAATACGACGATTAACGAACGAAACAAAAAAAGCCCAATATTTTCAAACCACGTTTCACATTAAGCAAAATAAGTGGTTCAATGGAATTTTGTGGTGATGGCATTTCATCGACGTCGTCATCATCATCGTCGTCGTCGTCGTCAATATGGACGGAATGTTGACGGGCCCAGACAGACCAAACATTAGCAGTACATTCCATCGAGTCGTAAACGATATTTTTCTTTTTAGTTTTGGGTACATTTTGTATACATATTAGCCCGTTTGCTGAATGCAAACACAGTGATTTTCTTTCGTTATTCGCATCAGTTAAGCGATTTCCACCATCACGCACCAGCACTCACCTCAACCGCAGCAGCAGCAGCAGTTACTGCAGAGACCAACTTTCATAGCGCCATGCAGATAGACTTCACTTCAGTTATAATTTGGCCGCGAAACGTAATGCACACCGAATCGGATAAAAAGAAATTTTTGTATTTCTTTCCATCGTATCTGCGCTGATTCGTTTATCGTAGTGAATTCACCAAAACGAACCTCACCCGATCTGTGTTTTCATCTTTTTGTAAAAAAAATTTCTTATCATTTATCAGAAGCAAAACTTTTATTTTAGTTTTTTTCGTATTTCGTTGTTGTTCGTCTTTAGAGAATATAAGAAACTCTCTCTTGCCAGCTGCTTTAGTGATTAATGTGTGAATTTTTTCTGTGAAAGATTTGTAGTTTTTTTTTTTTTTTTGTCTCTCAAGAAGGTTTGATTCGTTCAGCCGTTTATAAGAAGAAAACAAAAATTAGCGTCATACGACGTTAGCAAAAAATATCGTGATTAAAATATCTACCGGGAAGAGGAGGCGATCGTAAAAGTGCTAAAATAATAATGAAATGTACTAACTGACCATTTTACACGGATACAGTATTTTTTCATTCGCTTACCCACCCTCATTTCGAATTAGTTATTAATTTTGGAAAAAAAAACATTTTATTTGGTAAGTTCAATTACTTTATTTATCAATTAAACAAACAAACAAAAAATGCATTAAATTGTTATTGCTTAGCAAAAATCGATTTTACGATTTCGAGAGGAAAAACTCGAATTGATTTTTGCGATCAATTCATTAAGAAAAACGAGTAATGACAATATCAAAGAGCGAGTAAAATCTCGAAAGCATAAAAACAGAGCGTCTAATGCAGTTTGAGCACAGTGGCAGTGAAAAACATATTTTCCGACAAAAAAAAATTCATTCATCATTACTGAGAGACGAAGAAGAGAGACGATGAAACAAAAACAAAAACATTTATGGTACACGACATGTTAAGAAAACGAAATGCAATGTAGAAAGAAAGAAAGCACATGAAAATTAGACTATCGGTTTCGCTTGAATCGTTTTTATGCTGTTAATTCGTACGTGCTAAAATGGAATTAGTTTTATTATTCAGAGTATTTTTTTCATTCTGTTTCGCTTCGGTTTTGGTTTAGCTCTTCGTTTTAGATTTAAAAAAAAAAAAAACTAAAGCACATACAATAGCGAGTAGGTTACACAGAAATGAGTCAAAAATCATACTTATAAATGTAATCTATATAAAAAAAAATATATATACAGAGTTCTGCGCTGTGCATAGACTGGTGCTAGTGCTGCTACTTCTGCACGGCCGATGATCATAAAAGCAAACTATTTGTTATGAAGCCAATTAATGGCTTTCGTTTTGTTTTTGGTCTCTGCATCTTGCTGTCCCTCTTTCTCTTTGTGCTGCTTTTAATTTTCTTTTGTCTGATTATTAGCGAAATTATCATTTGTATTTTTCATTTCAGTTGAAATTTTTTTTATGAATTCCATAGTAGTAGTTTTGGTTTTTCTTTTCTATCTTCGCATGTTTTTTTTCTTCTTCTTCTTCTTCTTTTCATTCGTTTGATACTGATTCTTAAGCCTTTCTTCGTTGATGTCATTATCTTTATGTCGATTGTGTTCGGTGTATATGTGTGCTTGTGCTACGACCACGGACCTAGTTGTGAAACCAGCGTGTTTGTCATTAAACCAAATGAATGGGCAAGAAATTAAGAAAGGCGAACGAGAAATGCTCAATGCCTCACAGAAGTCTCCCAAAGCAATAAAATGAATTTATTGCCAAACATTTAATAAACACTGATGTAGAATTATAATTTATCGTTTTTTTTCCTTCTGCGGAAATATACAGGGAGATAGAGAGAGAGAGAGGGAGAGAGAGAGAGAGAGAGAGAGAGAGAAAGGAAGAAAGCAAACGAACGAACAGCAAAAAAAGCGACAAGAGAAAGAAACAAAAAAGATCAAGAAGCAAGCAGAAAAACAAATCCATCACCTGTGAATAATCTGCATGTCGTAGAAAATGTGTTACAAACGATCTTCGTCATATTTGGCTGGTGTGTGCATCGAGCGCTTTCCATAAATGATTATTTTTCACGAAAAAGAGCAAACTAGCAACAGGCAATCGGCCACAGCATTCGTAACACCACCAAATATGTGTATTGTTACATTTCTGCACAATCTCTTGTTTGTTTTTTCTTTTCTTCACCTTCTTCTTTTTCTTCTCTTTCTCTCATTTGTGTCGCACGGCACAGAATTCGATGCAAACAAGTCACCATGAACAGAAGAAACAGCCGATAAAGACAGAAAATATGCGTCAAGTGAAATACATGAAACGCGCCGAATGAAGAAAAGGAAAGTATTTTTGATGACACATTCAGACTGCATCAACACCTTCGGCACAGAGCAAGCATATGCATGATATACCACATATAGCAAAGGTGTATAAAAATATATAACACTTACAACAACTATAATTTTTGCTTTCAATCGAAACGGATGGTCGGTCAAACCCGTTCAAAAATCTCCATCATCATCATAATCTCACATACCGTGCATATATTTGAATTCAATGCGAAATGTGAACTGTTTAATGTATGCGGGGCACTTTTCTTCGGCCGGATATTTAGAAGCCGAAACTGAAGCAGTAAAAGTGATATTTATACATCCATATGTATATATGTAACGAAAAAAAAAAAAGATCGACACTCAATTTCTTTCTCGAACAAATTTGTCGAATGAATATTTAATTTGCGCTTGTTCGATCTTTTCACATTTCAATTATGTTTTGAGCTGCCATTCGCACGTTACTTCCCGTTTGAGATCTTATAACTTGAGAAAAGGTGAAAAGATGAAAATATGTACGCACCCACACACACACACACACACACACACACCGATCACCGATATGTGGTCAAATGTGACAAAAACAGACATGAAGGAAAAGTAACGAAAAAAAAGACTTCATTAACACACGCCATAGTACTATAATTGGCTATTGTCAACGTCTTATGACACAACAAAAGCATTTATTTTATACTTTGTATGCTCTTTTCTTCTTCTTCTTTTTTCTTTTTCTCTTTCAAATCGAGTTCACTTTACACAAAATAGCAAAGCTCATTCGTC